TGTGATTGTAAAACGACCGAGGTCCCTACCTACTCTTTTGAGATATAAGTAGTGCATGTGACAGTGTAACCCTGCAAAATGACTTTCCATTTCCAAGGAAAAATTGATTGTCTCATCGGAACCTGAAGGAGAAGTGGCACGCATCATCAGAACATAAATGCATACTTTGCGAAATAGTGCAAAAGATAAGCTAATCTATCGCGTAAAGTATGCATTCTTGCTCTGATGCTGCATGGCGATGAGCCGATGGCCTATTTGCACGATTCAGCAGAATTCACTCCACAGCAGCCAGTTCTTGTTGAGGTTCCGGTGATACGATTTCACAGATTCCTTTTGACCGACTTTTCTTTCAAAATGGAAAATAATCTCAGAAAAGATGATAAAGTAATGCTTCGAAACCCACTTTTTATCCAAATCATCGAGTGTACTCCTGTATTCTAGGACCTGACGACCTGGTCTCAAACTTCTTCACAATCTCATGAGATACACATCTTAAGTCCATCGATTACTTAATATGGTAGTTGACTACCAAGTGTTGCACTTGTGGACTGCTGTCCGTATACAGTTTTGCCTCCACTCGCTAGACTGGTCTTCTTTCTGACCGAATCTTATACATTTCGTCGGACCATCAAGCGATCTGCCGAAGTTGCAAGAGGCGTCCTCTGTAAAAAGGCAAGTTGTCCACATGGCACCTGCATCCAGTAAAGTTGGGGTGTGCCAGACTTCTCCAACTGAGACTTGCTGCCTTTTACTGCCTCAAAGAGGCACACTTTAAAGCAGATTGAACGGAGGAGAGTTGAGGGGTAGCTATCTTTTCCAGGACCTGCGTCATGTGTGCCGGATGTTCGCTCGTGAATACCATCGTTCATCTCTATCGCGAAGCCGTCCATTCATTGAATCTTACGAAATTTATATTTGTGATCTAATATTATTTTCTAACTACTTATGCGCTATATAGTAATATCATCTAGTTAATGGAAAAGTTAAATTTGCTGTGGTCACTCTAATCTGACAATAAAATGCAAATTAGACTATATTCATCCTATAGAAGTTGTTTGACCTTATTTTCGCAACTTGGTTATAATGTTAGGAAGACTGATAGAAACGCAACTTGTCCTGAGTCCATTGTATGCATAATTATTTCCAAAGTC